CCTCTCTCCTTGTCCCACCTACTTCCTGCCTGGCCACTGGCCAATCAGTGTTTTATTTATTGACCAATCAGAGCAATTTGACATACAGACCATCCCACAGCATTTCCCCCTCAATACCCATAGCCTAATATATTCTTTTAAAAGAGCTAACTTTCAGACATTTCATATCTATTCATATTAAGACTCCAGTCAGGTGGTTTGCCTTACCTCATTATTACTGCTATAGCCAAGCAGAGAGCCTGGATGACTTATGAAGAAATTTATTTTCTCACAGTTTGGGAAGGTAAGAAGTGCAAGATCAATGACAGAGTATTGGGTGTTTGGTGAGGTTTCCTGTGTTCTCAGGATGTCATCTCTTGCTTCATCTTCACATGGAAGAAGGTGGAAGTGTAGGAGTCGGGGTGACAAGATGCCAAAAGACTAGCAAAAGCAGGAGGTGGGTAAGCAATGGTGAGTGTAAGGGTTGAGGAAGGGAAGGGTAGCTGAGAGCCATAGTTAAGTCTTGCAGTGCCCCAGAGACACGTTCACTGAAGCAGGGCAAGGAGCAGTGAACCCATTCCTTCCTTCTGCTTCTAGTTTCTGCTGTTACCCCAGTGTCAGCTCCCTGAGGGGACCAGAAAGACAAACAGTGGAGAGTGGGTGGACAGACAACTGAAGAAAAGTCCACTGACTCTAACCCAGCTGACCCAGAAAAGGCAATGTATTATGAAAGCTTAAAACGCCCAATTTTTTATGCACAGACCACTTGCTTTGTAGATTCATTATTTGTGATGGTCTTATCAGCTCCATCAGACTGAGAAACACCTAGGAGGTTAGGAAAGCATACCCCTAAATGCACCTATGAGAGCATTTCCAGAGATGATTAAAATCTTAAGAACTCTGTCCTACTGAATGGCTTGACCATGAGTGGATTAAAATTTGAATAGACTATGGGAGGCAGTGGAATTATAGAAGGTGAAGGCTGGTTGGAGGAAGTAGGTCAATGGGAGCATGTCCTTGGGGGCTACATCCTGTTTTAGTGTCCTCCAGTTACTGCTTGGCTGGATTTCCTCGCTGCTACCATGTGAACTTTCCTGCTCCACCACACTTTCAAATCATGAGAGACTAATACTTCTGAAACTGTGGGCCAAAATAAATCCTTCACCTTTAGGTTGTTTATTTGGCATTTGGTCACAGCAATGAAAATTCCGATGACTTTTGTTTGCAGAACAGTTTGTACTTGCTGCATTCTTAGTAAATTCCAGCTGCATGAATGTATGTATTTATGGGATTTCTCCTGTTATTATACTGTTCACGGGAGATTATAGAAAGAAGTTAAGTCAAATATTAAAAAAGATATTTTAGATTAGCTATAAATTGCTACCTTATTTAATGTAGTCCAGAATTGGATTTTGATGACCAGCACAATAGGATTAGTAGGCAGTCCAACCTAAGTACACATTCCTTCCTACGATGATGAGTTGGCCAGAGAGTAACAACATCTCTGTCATTAGCATGGACGTGGCTACAAGTCAACACTCCCAGGAAGACATGTTTCTTTTAATAATGTAGTCATTGAAAATGACAAGAAACACTTTACAGATTCAGCAGGAAAAAAGAGTGACCATCACTGTTAACTGCTGGTAACGTGATGAATACATTGGCTTTGGGACAACAACGCAAATGCCATCACCTAAAAGAGAACAACTGGTGCTCGGCTAGCAGTGGTTTGTGTGATTTTAAAAAGGTCTGTGTCGTGAGGCACAAACGCCATTGCCAGGAACTCACATTCTACAAGGATGTGAAAGGGAAAGACCAGAAGGGGCTTGATCCGGAATGACAGATTGAGTGTCAGGTAAATAATGTGCACATCCGAGAGAGTGGTATCCCTTCCCAGGGAAACCATTGAGACCTCGCACCAGAATCTTACTATCACAAGGAAATAAACTAGTCACTAGTTTTCGAAGAGTAGCACACTAGCAGTTTTACAGCAGAAGACCTAAAATGTCCTGTTTTCATCTAGTTGTCTTGTGTGAAAAAGTAGGAGACTGGCATTACATTCTATTCTACTTACAATTTCTGATTTAACGTCAATACTAGCCATTAGTGTATTTGCAGTTATTTTTGAGAGACCAGAATGAACTTTATTCATCACAATTTCAGTGCCCATCATATAAATGAGTGAATAATTTAAAGATTAAAAGAAGCTGTTGGAATGTGTACAAAGTGTGCTTCTCTATTTCATCACTCGCTGCTTTTCCTTCACAGTTCCTGGAGCATAATAAAATCACTTACAGCTCTAAGCCTGGGTATTTCTTGTCTTTTTCTGAGACATTTTGTACCTTGGGCTGGCCTGGTCTTTGACCCATTTCCATTTCTTGTTTTTTTTTTTTTTTTTTTTTTTTTTTTTTTGGTTTTTCGAGACAGGGTTTCTCTGTGTAGCTTTGCGCCTTTCCTGGAGCTCACTTGGTAGCCCAGGCTGGCCTCGAACTCACAGAGATCCGCCTGGCTCTGCCTCCCGAGTGCTGGGATTAAAGGCGTGCGCCACCACCGCCCGGCTCCATTTCCATTTCTATCAGACTGTCTGTCCTCATTGGCAGGGTCACTGGAAATACTAGCCTCTGCCCCTCATGAAGTAATTTACATTTATTTTGTTGTGAGATGGCCAACTTGATTCTAAGTATGCTACAGACACAGGGGTTTTCCTCCTCCCCCCCCTTCCTTCTCTTTCTCCTCACTTTCCTTTTCCTAATCCCCTCATTTTAAAAACCAGTCTTATCATGTTGCCTAGGTCAGCCTGGAATTGCTGAGGTCAAATGATCCTCTTATCTCAGCCTCAGTAGCTGGGGCTACAAGCATGGACCATCACACCCTACATGGCTACTCTGATTTCAGAAACTAGTACTTTGATCTGTCACTCCCCTCCTCCAAGAACTGAAAGGCTTCTTACTTCAAGACTGTTATAGCATATTTGTATTTAGAAATTAATTTATGGTTCAGTTTTTAGTCTAATTTGCTTTTTGTTAGTGGTAAGACACTCAACAAAAGCAACTTGGAGAGAGAACGGTTTATTTGGCTTATAGGCTAGAGTCCATCATTTAGAGAAGCCAAGGCAAGAACTCAAGGCAGGAACTGAAGCAGAGGCCACAGAAGAACACTGCTTATTGGCTTGCTTCCTCTGCCTTCCTCACTACCTGTCTTACATGGTCTCAATCCGCAATGAGCTGGACCCTCCTACATCAATTAACAGTTAAGAACATGCCTCACAGATATGGTCACAGAGCAATCTGATCTAGATCATTCTTCAGCTGAGGTTCCCTCTTAGATGACTAGATTTGTGTCAAGTTGACAGCTGAAGCAAATTATGACACTTTTCTTTACTCATTTTGCATTGTGTGTGTGTGTGTGTGTGTGTGTGTGTGTGTGTGTGTGTGTGTGTGTTTTGTGTTGTTTTAGGTGTCTATTCAGGGTGTTAACAGAATCAACTTTAAGACAATTCCTTTTTCTATTTTTACAAAAGTCTGAGTCTACTGCTAAACCCAATTCGAGTATTAAGGACAACATGGGAGTAGACATGGACAAAGGGGCGTAGCTCTGATAAAGGCTATAGGTAAGTGTAAACTTTCCCTCAGATTTAGGAAGATGAGTGAGTTCCATGAGGATCAGAGCCATAGCCTCTGCCCTATGGGAGGGATGAAGTTCCAGAGAAAAGACCTGTGTCATGTTCCTGGGGGCAGTGGATCCCAAACTTGAGGGTACCTGTAAGACTTTTCTCAATTTAAAAATGACATCATGTTGCCCAACTAGATATCACAGTCAACTTCTGAAAATGTAGTTATCTTTGGCTGGAGGCCCTGTCCTAGGACTCAGTTTTACTTTCATATGAGCTATGTTGCTTAGGATGAGTTATTGTATTGATACTTAATGAGCTTTAGGTAGTTCAACTGTAAAATGCAGAATCATTACCCACCGGGCAAAGCCATGAAAACAAGGGATTATGAATACTATGTGATCATAAAAAATATGACTTAGGATAACTGGAGACTTGTAACAAGCTTTCATACAAAAATACTCTTTGGGGGCTGGCCGGGCTGGCTGGACTGGCTGGGCTGGCTGGGCTGGCCGGGCTGGTGAGAGCATTAGCTGTTGAGGCCTGACAGCCTGAGCCGGTGAGTTCCCAGAAGCCATGAAGGTGGAAGGAGAGAGGCAGTTCCACTTCGTAGTCTGCTGATGTCCACATACACACTGTGACACATGTGCTCTGTCCCCAACGAAAGGGAAATGAAACATACTGAATTCTCATAGAATTTCCCCAGTCTTTCCACAACTCTTTGGGTCAATTTTATGTCTTCTCCATACACTTCAAAAACTAATATTCAACTTACGGCAAATTAGTTCTTAATAAATTTAGAGTCACAAAACCCCCTTGAGAACCTTTTGATAGCAAGGTACCCTCTTGGTAGCAACATACATGCATACACTATGTACAAAGCATTTATTGGAATGGTGGATCCTGTATATTGATTGGAGTCACAGTGTAAGAATACTGTTCTAGAGTAACATTTTTTTTTTCTTGATTAGTGACTGACTTTCAATTCGCTATTTAACTCAGGGCCAGTAATTTTTTTTTCTGAAAATTGCACACAGTATGTATGCACTTTCAGGTTTAATGACTATGACTGATCTCCATGGAAACCAACCAACTATGCAGTATGCAGTACAAAAGCATCCATAGAAAACACAAGAAAAAAACAACTGAGTGTGGTAGCACATGTGTCTAGCCTTAGTGTCTGGGAGACAAGATGGAGAGTTCAGGGCCTGCCTGGGAAATGCTGATACCATGTCTCCATCCTTTTTTTTTTTTTTTTTTAAGGAGATACGGTGATGTAGACCAGTGCTAGAACACTGGCCTAGCATGTGCAAGGTCCTGAGATCAATATCCCACACTAAAGCATAACAGAATCACATGTGAACAGGTGAGTGCGGTTATTTTCTAACAGAATCTCATTAGTAAAAAAGCATGGCGTCTGGCTTTGGACTTGGGGCTGTAATCTGGGCGTCTATCCTTCAGTTCTTTCCACACTAGTTATAAAGTGGAAAGCTCTTCCACTCTGGCCCACAGGGCTCTTGTGCTGTGGGTCAGAAGGGCTGGGTGGAGAAAAGCCTCCATCTCTAGCACCTGAATGGGACGTGACCTGCACAGCGTTGCTTTACTGACCCTGGGCAGAGCTCCAGTCCACAGTTCCTGCCTGCCTCTCTACTACACAAAGAATAAATGAAAAGCAGAACCACCCCTGCACGTCAGGTAGGGGATGTGGTTTTGGTTCAGCCAGAACTCTGCTGTCATCTTTTCTTAGGAGCTACAAAGATTTTTCTTCAAAGTGGCCTCCTCCTGCCTCCAATTGCCGCATTCTGCAGCCTCTTAGACCAGGGCCCTGTGTTGGGGAGGCATGGAGGGAGGAGCGGCCCTGTACCTTTAGTGACTCCCCAGCAGAACAAAGATTGTTGTCTGTTCTGTGCACATCTCTGCTCTCCGGGGGTGAGGTGGGGTCTGTCCATCTTCGTCTCTGGTTCGATAGTATGATGTTTCCTTTTATTATCAAGTACCCCTGCTTTCTTTGAACACCCTTAGAATACCCTACCACATAAGGCAGGGAACAGCAAGGAACTGAGGAGCTGAGGAAGGCCACTACTTTGTATCTTCTTTTCCAGGGTTAAAAACAATAGGCCTGTGAGGAGGCAGGCTACAGGTGTGCAGGTCACTGGTGTATCTCCCTACAAAGAATAGCAGGCAACTTGTCAATAAGGCACTCCTCTGGAGGAAAACCCACACCCCTTTATTTGTTGTGTCTTTTAGGATAAAAGAGTGGGAAGCAAATGCATATGATTTCTTACTGTCATCAAGCACAGCTTTGAGTGGGCAGGCAGGAGACAAAAGTATACAAACTACAAGTCTTTGGTGAGCATGTAAAGGGGAGAAATTATGTAGACGAGGGGTCTCTGGGTAGGACCAGGGATGCATGCCAGGCAAGCAGTTCAGGGGCTTGCAGGCCATTGTCAAGATTGACTCCATTGAAGGGGCCTTTTTGTCCTTGTGACCATTTGGCTTTGGTGGCTTTTGCTGTGAGGCTCATCTTGGGAGATCACCTGGCAGAAGTGGGCAATGGGAAGACCAGCATCTTACGTTCCAGTGAGAGAAGACTGTCACTCCATGGTACAAACCTTACAAGGTACAGTGTTATTCTGCAGGTGAAGGGGCTGTGTGAAATAATGAGTAACTGAAGACCCTTAAATGCTTAGTGAACAGGGCAAGTTGGAGTGTTGGCCAGACCAGAAGGGCTGAGTGGGATGGGTGGGATGGAGAGTGGCCCTCCCACTGGGAATGTCCAGATGGCAGAGTAGCAAGTCAGTATTTACCGTAGGTTATAGTGGAAGACAGCCCTAGTCACTCCAATAACTGAGCAGATACCGTAAGTGATCTGTGGGTGAGAGACTGCCTGCCAGGCTTTGTGGGTGCATGATTGCGTTCATGGAACCAGTCCTCAGGACTTTGTAGTTGCACCCCTTGGAAAAGATTGTCTGAGCAACTTTGGTTCTAGTAACATGAGGTATGATGGAGGTCTTTGGGAGTACTGTGGACGGGAGCAAGTGGAGTGGGTAGAGCCAGGACATATTTGGGGGCTTGTGCTGGGGAAGAGTGACCATACCTGAAGCCTCAGATTGAGGATGGTGGAATCTGCCTGTTCAGATAAAGGGATAAGGTAAAGCACTTAGCCTCAAAGGCAAATATGAGAAGCCCCTCAAATTCTTTCCTACTGCCAGTATTCATCAGATATCTTTCTGTCATATACTCTTGTGGAGGTGTGGCCTCCGCACCTTCTAATATATTATTTCAACTATGTAAAGATGTGTTGCATTTGTTTATGCTGCATTTGTTAACAATGTAAAGATGTGTTGCATTTGTTTTTGCTGCATTTATTTAATTATGAAAAGATGTGTTGCTGTTTCACATGGCCCGTGTAAGGCACCTGATCGGTCTAATAAAAAGCTGAATGGCCAGTAGCTAGACAGTAGAGGGACAGGCAGGGCTGGCAGGCAGAGAGAATAAGTAGGAGAAGAAATCTAGGCTAGAGGAGAGAGAAGGAGGAGGAGAGAAGGAGGGAGAAAGAGAGGGACACGCCCAGGGTCAGCAGCCAGGCAGCCACCAGGCAGACATGAGAACCAGTGAAAGTGAGATATCCAGAAGGGAAGAAAGGTAAAAAGCCCTGGGATAAAACATAGATGAGGAAAATCAGGTTAAGTTATAAGAGCTAGCAATAATAAGCAATAATAATAAAAGCAAGGATAAGGCCAAACATTCATAACTAATAAGAAGTCTCCATGTCTTCATTTGGGAGCTGGTTGGTAGCCCGAAAGAATAAGCCTGCTACATACTCTCTTAGAGTTGGCTCACTAGCCAGGCATAATGGCACACACCTTCAATCCCAGCACTTAGGCAGAGGCAAGTGAATATGGGGGACAGAAACCCCCTGAGATGTTCTTCCCCTTCCATCACAATTGATAATAAACTTTCAATACATACTTAATGAAAACCAACAGGTTTTTGATTGCTCTGGTTCATCACTAGAGAGATCCATGGGTGATTCTCACCAGTAACACACATTTACAGCACATTACAGTTAGGACTGGGAGATAGGAAAACACAGAGGATTGAGTGTAAATTTCTGTGCACCCAAATTGTCCAACGCTCAACTGTATCATTTCTTTTTTAAGAGAAAGTCTCACTAGGTAGCTCTGGTTGGCCTGGAACTCACAGTGTAGTCCAGGTTTGCCTCAAACTCACAGAATTCCACTGGACTCTTCCTCCAAAGTTCTGGAATTAAAGGTTTGTTCTACCATGCCTGATGTATTAGTTACTTTTCTGTTGCTGTGATAAACTACCATGACAAAGGCAACTTATAAAAGCAAGCATTTACTCTGGTTTATGATTTCAGACAGTTAGAGTCCATGATGACTAAATGAAGGAATAGCTGAGAACTCACCTCATGAGACACAGCCATGATGCAGAGAGAAAGAGAGCATCAGAAATCTTTTGAAACCTCAAAGCCTGTACCCAGTGACACATCTCTACAAGGCCACACTGTGGTGACATTGTGTTCCTCAAAATATTGTGCACCCTAATAAACATACCTGGGGTCAGAGAACAGAACAGCCACTATATTAAACATAGAGGTTAGGCAGTGGTAGCACACGCCTTTAATCCTAGCATTCCAGAGGCAGAGATCTGCCTGGATTTCTGTGAGTTCAAAGCCACACTGGAAACAGCCAGGCATGGTGACACACGCCTTTAATCCCAGGAAGTGATGGCAGAAAGCAGAAAGATATATAAGGTGTGAGGACCAGGAACTAGAGCCCGATTAAGCTTTTAGGCTTTTAGCAGCAAGTTCAGCTGAGATCCATTCAGATGAGGACTCAGAGGTTTCCAGTCTGAGGAAACAGGATCAGGTGAGGCACTGGCGAGGTGAGGTGGCTGTGGCTGGTTCTGTCTCTCTGATCTTTCAGCATTCACCCAATACCTGTCTCTGAGTTTGTTTTTATTAATAAGACTTTTTAAGATTCGTGCTGCAGCACACCTCCTAATCCTTCTCAAACAGTTCCACCAACCAAGGACCAGGTATTCAAACGTACGAGCCTATGGGGACCACTGACACCTGACATCTTTGTATATTATCATTAATTATATTTCTAAAATTGGCTGTTGAAAAGTGCTCTTTTTGATATATGCAGCAAAGTCCTCCAAGGTCTACAGCAATGTGTGTAGAAATTCTATACAGTAAATATTTATACATTTAAAAGTCACTGAAAGAAAAAAGCTTGCAGTACCTTGCCGACTGCTGCCAGCAAAGTCTTCATAAAGAATAAACACCGTCAGTTTAACCTGATCTATTAGGATGAAAAGCCCAGGTAGATCTAATTTATCTTGGCTCTAGGAAGTTTAGGTTATTTAATGTATTAGGTAATAAATTTAGAAAATATGATTCAGACAGTGACTATTAGATGAGAACACAAATTCCTAGAGGGTAAGAAAAATACAAAGATTTTTTTTTCAATGTCAGCTAGCTGCCTAGCTTTAAAATTTATTAACTAATCTAAATAAAGAAATGAAGAAATCAACCCAGAAAATGTCCCAAGAAAAATGCAACTTTAAAAAGAGATTCCAGAAGAAATGGAAAATCCAAATATACTAACAACTACCAAGGAAACAATATAGTTTAAGTCTAATTCCTATACTCCTAACCTAAATATCTGGGATGGCATTACAGGTCAGTGAATCGGGCATTAAAGAAAGACAGTCCAAGTCTCAAGGGATGGTTTAGAGGTTAAGAGCACTGGCTGCTTTTCTAGAAACCATGAGTTCAATTCCCAGCACCCGCATAGTAGCTCACAACTGCCTGTAACTCTAGTTCCAAGGGATCTGATGGGCACCCAGGAACACACATGGTGCACAGACATAACATGTGAAATAAAATAACAAATTTTAAAAGGGACAGATAATCCCTATCTTAAAAAATGTTTTTATTAAATGGTGCTAGAACAACCTCATTGATGTAGCCATCATTAACAGGCCAGGATAATACCAGAAAGCCCAGTCAAGGCTGTGTATAAAGATAAAATTAGGAATAAAATACTAGAAATGGGCCAAACTTATCTTGAACAATTCAAGGACAATTTAACATGGAGAATGTCTGCTGTCAAATTAGCCCCATGGAACTAGGAGAAAACCAGATGATTATTTCAATGTGTATATTTTTAAAAATTGCTAAAATTCCCAATCTATTCATTGTAAAATTGCTCATATGTAGAATGTTCAGGAATCATACCAAATGCTGCTAAAATGCCATCTCTTTCTCCAGTCATTCCTACTCACACACACACACACAAAAAGCCTTTTTCTGGAGCATGACAAGCAGGTCCTAATTTTGGATAGAAGAGCAAATGGCCAAGACCAGCAAAGACTATTTTGAGAAAGAACAAGGCAGGGTTGCATCTGTTAGTTACCAAGACTAATGGTGTTAGTAATTACAGGAGTAATTGACAATAATTATTCTGTTCAGCTCACTTATGAGTTCAGTAATGCATCCAAGATTCATGGCTAAGGAGATGGTAGACACTGTTTTTGGAATGAAAGAGAACCTTAGAAATACTTGGACTTAGGAAACAAGATGCAAACATTAAAATTAAAATTGTCCACTCTAATGGGAACTTGATTACCATCACACTAACAATAATAATGGGGAACACAAGTTAAAAAGTAATACATTGAACTGCTTTCTAATTTAAAGCAAGGAAAGTTGGTTCATAGCTATTATGCTCTTCCACAGTCATGTGTTTACAATACATTGGAAATGTAGTACGAGTTTAACAGCTACACGGGCTATTTCCAGTCACACAATTCTAGAAATAATCCAATGACGCTCTCTTAGGGCTAGACAAAAAGGGACATGGAGCTATGTCATTGAACTAAATCTTCTCTCCCTCCATTTCATTCCCCCACCCATCCCACACGTAGATGCTTTCTCAAAGCAATGGGCTGCCCTTAATTCAGCAACAAACATGCCTCCAAATAGTTAAGAACCTCCAGAAAGAATGTCATTATCACCCCCTGCATTTCACCTGTACTGACCTTTGGATGTAGTGGATACCAGTCTCAGATCTAATGGAACAAGTTTTTAGTTCCATTACACATAATATAAATTGCTCAATGATTTATGAAAGATATAATATGAATAATAGGTTTGAGTCAAGGAAATAAATACATGATCATTTACAAAATTTTACTGCAGTAAACCTGTTTATGTACAAAATTCACCACTACTATTATATATAGTAAATTCTTAGTTATGTATACCAACCATATTGTATAGATTTTTACCCCTGTTGTTTTTTCTTGTATATCCAAGAAGTTCTAGCTTATTTTTCTCATTATCAAGAAAAAAAATCAAAGTGTTCTGAGCATAATATGTACGGTATTCCTAAAATATAGTTACTGTTATTGTCAGAAAACAGAACTGTTAAAGGCACAGCAGGAAACTTGTCTTGAGGACATCGAGGCCCCCACCTCTACTGAGATGCAGCCAGATGCCTGGTTATCCCTCATGTGAGGAGTGGACTTCTCTCATTGAAGAGAGATTGTGACACATCTCTGTGTATTCTACATCCCATGTTTTATTTCCTTGATGGTAATTCGGAATCTCTTATCACTGGCTACTCATAAGCAACTAGCTTGAACCAATGCTCTTTACCAGGACAGGTTCACAATGGTGAACACCAAAGGAACATTTTTGGAGATGTTTCTCTCTTCACTTCGACTTTAGCTTATTTTGTCTTTCCTCTGCAAGCAGGGAAGATGTCTGTCCAGTGTCCTTTTCATAAAAATGATTGAGATGATATAACAAAGTAACTATTACCCCTTATTTTCTTTAGAATGGGACTGTATTGATATATTTTAAGGACATTAGACAACAACCCCCCAAATGTAAACTGAAACATGAAATACACATGAAGTAATGCTTAAATATATTTTTGTGTTTCCCCACCAGGGAAGGGATTAGATAGAATACATTGCTCACTTTATATTTATGGAGTTCCTACTATGTGCTTGATACTAATTTAAGTACTGTAACTATAATCCTGGATTCTAAATAAGACAGTGTAAAGCTAAGATTTTAGTGAGAGAGTTATCACAATCATACACTTAAACTCATTGGTAGTCAGCTCGTGGAATCAATGGGCTGCAAGTTTTGGGAGACTTTGTCTCCAAAAACAAGGTGGAGAACAATTGAGGAAGACACTCATCATAGACCTATGTCCTATACAAACATGCATGTGTGTTTGCATGCACACATGTAAACACCCATATTAACATGTACATACATCCCACATACGTGTGCATACACACACGTTCCTTTTATGAATATTAAAAACAGATTTTTAATACTTGGCTAATTTTCTAATTTTTAAGTTTCACAGGCTTTGAAGACATGAGGGAATCATTGAGAGAAGCTGGGGTGTGACATCGTAAGAGGCTATTGGTGAAGGCACAGCCGCTCTGGGATTGAGGAGTCATGGAGAGAAGTTGAGACTTGGCACCACCTAGCCGGGTCAGAATCCCTGCAGAGAGCCCAGGGGAGGCTTGTGAGAAGAGTCAGCCCTGTTGTGGTGGAGACCCCAGCTTTTTGGAGATGCTAGCACCATGGGACCACCACCAAGAGCAGCAGCAGCTGTGGAGTGGAGCCAGACTGATCCTGGGAGATGAACTCTGTGTGCCGTGGTGGCAGAGCCCGAGGAAAGGAATTAGCTGTCCAGGCAAGGATCATGAGTGGGTTCCAGGCATTAAGAACTTAACTTTTCACAATGTTGAACTTTGCCTTCATTTGTCTCTTGTGGAGTAAAGAAGTATTCTGCTTATTTTGATTTTATAGGCACCCACAGTTGATTCTGAACCTTTAAAGGGAGTTTTAGAAAGGCTGGATATTTAGAGGCTTGAACTTTGAAAGAGACTGAACTTTTAAAAGTATTTGAATTTTAAAGACCATGGAACTTTAAAAATTACCCTCATAGATTTCATATTGCAGAGAACCCCTGGAAATGTGAAGAATATGGCACAGCTTGTTCCATTCTTAGTGATTTTTGTGTGTATATGTGCATGAGTGCGGGTGCTCTCAGAGGCCAGAGGAGGGCACTGTATTCCCTGGAGCTGCCCAATGTTGATGCAGGGACCCAAACTAAGTTCTTCTTCAAGAACAGTACATGCTTTTAAAGATGAATGGTTTCTCCAGCCCCTGCATCACACTTCCTTTGTCCTGACTGCGTCTCAGGAACGTAGCTCTATTGGAAAGCTCTGTTCATTGCAGTTTTCTTGAACCATGAGACTAAATATTTAATTATCACTTTATTATTTGTCTGTAGGTTCTGAAAATATTTTGATTTCCTGTATGACTGAAATTTGTCTCCCAGATAAGATGAAGTAGCCCAGCTATTACAACTGCAGCCAACTTGCTTCTCTGTGTCGGCCACTGAAGTCAATGAAAGATGAGCTTTGGGGTGAGATCAGGTCACCTGCTGAGATTATTGTCATTGCAACCATCTTCCTCTTGCTCCCAGTTCCTGTTATTTGTCCTGGATGAGAAGGAGTCTTCTCATTCTTTTCATTATGACAAAAATTATTTTAAAAGAGCAATCACAGCACCAATATCTATTACCAACCACAACCATCCCAGGTGAATGTCATGCTGAGAACAAGTGTGGGAGCTCAGTGGGGGCCCCTTCCTTCGTTTTTTTTTTTTTTTCCCTCTATAATTACTATAGGAGCTTTCAACCTAGGAAGGGAGGGGTGCCTGGAGTCACCCGAGGACTGAAGAGATTCCTTGGATGGTAGGAATTCTGTAGCGGGTTCCTCAGCTTCAGAGAAGGTGGGAAAGACTTCCTTCAGAACATAAGACTGAGTTTACACTAGTGGAGGGGTGAAAGAAGAACTTTGGGTAGTGAGAATAGCTCAAGGCTAACAGCATCAAATCCACAAATAAATATAAATTCCTCGACAGTAGAAATGAGAAAATTTTACCAAGTAATTAAAGGAGACCTAAAAATATGGAAACCTCTGCCTTATATTCATGTTTATAGAGCCAATATTAAGATGGTCAATGTCCACAAATGATCTTGTAAGATCAGTACTAAATCTCCCAATGGTTCTTTTTACAAGGTTTAAAAAGAAATTGAGAAGCTAATTCTGAGGGTTTTGTAGAAATACAATAGTTCTAAAGCAGCCAAAGCAGTGAGAAAAAAAAACCCACCTGATTTTCAGATTTTTCTATAAAGTTTTGACAATTAAGATAAACAAAATAACCATCAGATTAGTGGATTCAAAATCAGACCCCATACATCCACAAGCACTGCTTTCCAGAAAAGGCAGTGTCAACTCAACGAGGAAAGGGTTTTCAAAAGTGGTGCTGAAGGGCTGGAGTATGCCGAGTTGGCGGAACGCTGACTTAGGATGCACAAACCCTTGGGTTCCATGTTCAGCTCCATCTTAACTGGATATGGCTGCACACATCTGTAGTCCCAGCACTTGGGAAGTGGAGATATGAGGATTAGAAGTTCAAGGTCATCTCCAACCATACAGCAAACTTGAGGCCAGCCAAAGCTACATGTGATTCTGTCTTAAAAACAGAACAAAGCAAACGGTGCCAAAATGATATACTCTACCAAATACACCTATTTCTACAAACAGTGATCTGACATGCAACCTGGAGAGGTCGAGCTGTGGTGATAATGTGTCTCCCAATATACTGTGCACCTTAAAAAACTTTTCTGGGGTTAGAGAACAGAACAGCCACTAGATAGACATAGAGGCCAGAAAATGGTGGCACACATACCTTTAATCCTAGCATTTTGGAAGCAGAGATCCATCTGGATCTCTATAAATTCAAAGCCACACTGGAAACAGCCAGGCATGGTGACTCACGCCTTTAATCCCAGGAAGTGATGGTAGAAAGCAGAAAGGTACATAAGGCATGAAAACCAGGAACTAGAGCTGGTTAAGCTTTTAGGCTTTTGAGCAGCAGTTCAGCTGAGATTCATTTGGATGAGGACTCAGAGGCTTCCAGTTTGAGGAAACAGGATTGGCTGAGAAGTTGGCGAGGTGAGGAAGCTGTGGCCTGTTGTCTCTCTGATCTTTCAGCTTTCACGCCCATACCTGGCCCCAGGCTTGTTTTTATTAATAAGACCTTTTCAGATTCCTGCTACATCGAGCTGGTGCCTAACTTGAGCCTTCACCCTCCTACTGACTACTTAGTGTTCATGATCCTGGAAGGTACTCTGCTCATTCTCAGAGGAGAAAGCTAAGCACCAATCCAGATACAAATCTACAAATCTGCAGTCGACAGTGGTGACCCGCCTGCAGATATGCTGGTGTAATAGCAGCACAAACGTCATGGGAAGAACCAACTACTCTCTGATTGGATTCAAGGCCCACCACACAAAATGACACTTGCGGGCTGCAAGAATATATTATAGAAATTCACCTGTACATTAAAGCTATACCTAGAAATTTCAAGGCATCTTTCTAGAGGAAGCCATTTATCAAGGAATATTTAGTGTTACTCAGTTTTTAATATTTCAGCTATCTTCTGCTATGAAATTCTTGTGAGTCCATATACTACTAGACCGTATTGGCAAACAGTATAAACCTCTCACACTGATCCACTAGCAGAGCCTAGGAGACAGGCGGGGCTGTGGATGCATAGCTTTGTTTCTTGTGCAAATGAAACTCAGACCATCCCTTGCCTTCAGGCCTAGTAGCACTGCAGAGAGACTGATGGAGGACAGCAGGGCTTTTTGCGTAACCAGGTGCAGTGAGGACTGGAGTGGAATTCCAGAGGCAGGCAGAGAGTCGTGTGGCCAGGAAAGAAAGAACAAGGAAAGTTTCTGTAGACGGTAAGGCAGAATGGTTCAGGATGAGGAATGATGAACAAGGAAAAGATTCTTGTAGATTGTACGTGAATCAGATTAGGAGAGGAGAAGAGGAAGGAGAGATGGAGGACGAAGGAACAGGGGACAAAGATGAGATCAAAAGCATAAGGGCTTAGTTATTACTAGGGCTATGAAAGAACAGAAAAAGTAGGTGTAGAGCGGAACTGAGAGTCAGGACAGAACTGAAGCTGTATAGACAGAATTTTGTCTTAGAGGAATAAAGTAATGGACAAAAGAACTTTAGTGTACACAGATTCTTTACCCTCAGATAGCCCCCATTGCCCTGACGGTTGTCTTCCCCAGGACTCTGGGGGGAATCTTCTCAGGGCAGGGACTCGGGAAAATTCCATTACCTGACACTGATTGGGTGGCTGTGAACCTTGGACTGGATAGACTACAGGCCTAGGGGAAAACCAAATACTGTTGTGCTGCTAACCGAGCACTGTGATAAAATGATCCCAATGACACTCTACTATACCCACAGAGTAGTCTTTGCTCAGCCATCATCAGAGAAGCTTCCGATTGCAGCGGACGGGAACTAACAGAGCCCCACAACTAGGCAACGTGCAGAGACTGAGAGATTTTGGAACACACAGTTCTTAGTGGGAAGTCAGCATCAAACTCCTCTCAGGGCACAGGGAGCTATGGGAAGAGGAAGTGGAAAGGTTCTAAGAGCCAGAGAGGATGGGTAACTTCAACAAAACAATGTCTTCCAGATATAACAGGACTGATGCACAGATGCACTCAAAGAGACTATAGCAGCATGCACAGTTTCAAGCCAGATAAGGCTCCCAAAATTGGGACGTGGACACAGGCTCCCACCCCTAATGAAGAAGCGTTTCACTGAGTATATTAACCACACTTAAGGGTAGGCCCTGTGGTAGTTTGAATAGGAATGGTCCCCAAGAACACACATTTGAATGCTTGGCCCATAGGGAGTGGCACTATTAGGAGGTGTGGCCTTGTTGGAGGAAATGTGTTACTGTGGGGGCGGGCTTTGACGTCTCAGGGCTAGCTCAGGCTAGGCCTACTGTAGTACTCACTTTTGTCTGTGGATCAAGATGTAGAACTCTCAGCTCCTCTCTAGCCCTAATTAAAGGTTTCCTTTATAAGAGTTGCTGTGGTCGTGGTGTCTCTTCACAGCAATAGAAATCCTAACTCAGACAGGCCCCACGCCCAGCAGAAGAAGGCCAACACAAATCAAACTCAATGAGATTTTTGTAGACTTTTTGTCTCATGTTGCTTTGTTTGGGCATTTTTGTTTTTACAATTTTTGGGGGATTATAATTTAATTACAACAATTCTCCTTTCCTTCCTCCAAACCCTTCCATATACCCCCATGTGCTCTCCTTTAAATTTATGTCCTCTATTTTTAACTAAGCTTTTTTTTTTTGGTCTTATTGGTCTTCTGCTTGTATATTATAGTTTCCAATATTTTTGCGTTTTTGCTTCTCTCTGTTTCTTTTTGTTTATTCTAATTTTTTGTTTGTCTGTTTTCTAAAGAGAGAGAGAAAGGGGTGGAGTTGGGTGGATGTGGTGGGAAGGATCTGGGAGGAGTCAGGGAGGGGAACCATGATCAGAATATATTATATAAAGGTTTTTTCAATTAAATAAAATAACAATAAAAAAATCTATGTATTATATAGTATGCAAATTATATCTCAATTTAAAAAAGAAGTGGAGTAAGCTGTAGTTACAGATACCAATGTATAAAGCATGTAGGCCTGATAATTATTTCTCATCTTAAATATATCTCATAAAACTGCAAAGTTTCCTTTCTGTTCTTATTGTCTTATAAATTATTCCTGTATTTAAAAGCACAGTAGCAGCCAAATAAAGTCCTTAAGGTCTTCTGCTTCAGATATGAAAACATCAAGATAAATAAACAATCAATTCAAATACTCTGGTCATAAAGTTAGGAGCAGCACAGGCGAGGACTGACTGTGTCTGTCATTAAAAAGCTGGCTGCTGCAAAGAGCATGTAGGCAGACAGCACCATTCAAATGAGTTTTCAGAGTCTGCACACCATAGCCACATATAAGGCCACATGTTGTGGTATGACACGTAGAACTTGGCTCTTCTAGATCTAGCAGATCTCCTTTGATAGGCACAGCAATGGACCGCATGTAATTCATTCTTGTATTTTCAGAAAAACCTAGGCCAGGGTCTTGAAAACCATAGATCTCAGTATTTGTTAATTATATGCTTGAATTAAATAATTAATATATTTACTATTTAGTGAAAATTTATATCTGAATTTTACTTTTATAAGTGCACTTTAATGCAGTTGACTTACAAATTTTCACATGAAGTGTTTAAACCAGCAATAATCTTATTTGATAATTTATGGGCATATAATTGAAAGGAGTATACTCCATGATACACAATTTCAACCAACCTCAGATTTAAAAAGTCATACCACATTTACCATTCTAGGTTTAAAAAAAATAAACTATAGAAAAGGTACATTGTTTTTTAAAACTATAAAAAGTACAACCACCTTTGAGTTTAGTTTTGATCATCATGTGTGAATATCTGAAGACTATAAAATGAAGGCTTCGAGGACATAACTTGGATTGACTATCCAATCAGGCAGATGTGTGAGGAAATTGTTCTGCTGATGGAAACCTGGCCAGTGAGAATAATTCTTTTGGCAGCTGAGGCTTCAGGGGATTCCCTCTAGGAAGCCAATCATCCTTTTGCATACACAGTAAGTGTCCTTCTTCCAAGATTCCCTGTAACTTTGGACAGGCTTGAGATGCTCCGGCAGCACACCAAGAACTCCCTGCATGCCCTGGGCTTTCATCAGGAAGCCAGTGGCAAAACGTAAGAGTGAGTGCTTCATTCTAAATGGGGATGCCCACGATCATGTTGTTTTTGGGAGAGCAGCCCTCTGGCTCCATAGATATCACTTGAACAGAGTAGCCATGTTCTTCTGCTGAGGTTGCACGGTCCATATCCACCAGGCACATGCACTGCTTCCCTGAAACAGAGTAAATGCATCTTGAGACACCTTCACCAGTGATGGCATTTCCATGCATACACAGGAATTCAGTGACAACACCCATCAGTACTATGGAAAAGGCCATATTCCCCTAAGTACAGTCTACTTTAGGCTTAGCTTTTGACTAATGTGAAGACACACTTCAGTTTTATCATGGCTAGTAATTTACAGAAGGCAAACTTTTAAAAATATATTGATAAGTATATCACAAATGGCAACTACACATTCTACTTTATACTTTGGCCAAAATCCATTTTATAGGATTTTTAGAGGATTTTATAGGATTATAATTGTTCTGCACTCCTATAAAGTCACATTATTAGTGATATTCTAAAAACTTGTCTCTGGGAATATCTAAAGTGATTTACTGACAAAGGGCCATCTGAAACACATGTCACTTTTCTACCTGGAGTTTTATAGGACTATGAAGAAATAAGAAATGCAAAGTATGTGAGAAAATGCTTAACCATGTGCTTGTTATTTTAGGCAGAAATGTAATGCTGGGTATAATTTCCCTGATTTTCAGGCCTCACCTTATTAAGATACTGGTTTTCTATTTCCTTTGCAATGTCTGAGAAACAAAATAGGAAACCTGACTGGCAAGCAAGCAGCTTATTTGTTTTCTTTTGGAAGTACAAATTTAAAATGTCAAAAGTAGATGAGGAAAAAAAGTGGCTTGAGGTTTACTATAGTAAAGCCATTACTCAATTTTATAATCTGAACTGTTCTACAGTCAATATCTAAGGTTTTGTCTTGAAAGAGGTTACTGGCTTTGGAATCTCACTTCTTCCATTTTCCTCTGATAATTATAGAAATGCTTAAACATGCTTTTACAATACGGTAGCTGAGCTGGAGTCTGCTGCAGTGAAGTGACGTCAGCCGTGAGGACACATCACTGAAACAGCAAACCTCCCGTGTAAAACAGGGGACTCTCATAGACAAAACAAAAACACAGAACGATGAAATTAGCACTAAGAATAAACAAGAGACTCCGATTCACAAGGCTGGTATTATACACGTCCTTAAAAGGACTCACGCTGTGAAGATTAAGCGTGTTAGAAAGTGATACAAAAGAGGTATCTAGAATTCCATTTAGAAAATAATCACCTCCTCACCAACAGCTATAGGGCTGGTCTCCTTCTTCCTTTAAGACGTGTGTGAATGCTTCCCCATCGACTTTACAGTGGAAATGAAACATTCCCGTCAGAACGGGATGCTCTGCATTCCTTCAGGACCCACCCTGGGTTTACAAGGCAGCTCATTGACTCTTGGCTTCAATCCCAGTACAGTTCATTTTTCCTTTTTCATCTTGTAGAAGAATCTCATATTTTCCCATGTTAAGTGTCAATACAACTGAAATTCAGTTGTTGGCAACCTACCTTTTGGGGGTTAGTAAATTTTCTAAAAATGTTCATTAAACATGGAAGTGGCAAGATCTGTGAGAAGCTGGCTTTGTCTGGAGCCCTACCCTGCCCCTGCCCTTCAGCAATCTTGCCAGATGTTCTTCTGCTCCAACCCTGGCAATTTCCCTTCCAGTCACTGCTCTCACTTGACACTTAAAACTCATACCGACCATGACCACTGAATCTATCCACTACGCCAATCTTGACTCTATTGATCTCTATGATTTGAATGTGTTCTCCCAAAAGCACATGTTGAAAACTTAATCCCCAGTGCAAGTGTGCTAGGATGTGAGCCCGTTGGAGCCACGATTAGGCCATTAGTATGAGGTGGATGCAGGCTATTACTGTAGGGTGGGCTCACTATTGTGAGTGGGTTTCTTATGAAGGGACAAGTCTGGCCCTATCTCATGAAAGCATTCCCTACATTGCCTGCTGGCGCTCATTCTTGTGCTCTCCCACTCACTGTGATCTGCCCTTCTCTCTTGGCATTTGATCCCGTCTACAATGGTGTGACTGCAAGAAGACTCCCATCAGATTTAACCCCCTGATCTCTAGAATGGTGGACCAAATCAATTTCCATTGATTGTAAAGAATAAGACTATACGGATGAAGACACACATCTGGTGTAATTACAACAAGTGTACATTATGGTGACTTAAAAAATCAGAAATGGGAAATCAGAAGGAAGAACAGGAAAAGGGGAAAGAAAATGAGAGGCAAGAGATGGCAGTTCTGGGCACAGCAAGAACAGGAAAGGAAGTCTCTTAGCTGCAGGTCTCAGTGCCTTTCCTAGTGAACACCTTACTACGCCGACTTTAAAATTTAAAGGTAATTATTTACCATATAACATCTTCAGTATAAACTATTTCAGCTGGGCTCCAAGAAATGACAATCTACTCAAGTATATATGGAAAAATGCATCATGTTGGAATTTTAGAGTATGACAGTGTCCAATAGAAGATTTCTAAGAAAAAAAAAAAGGTGTGATTTAATCCCCACCCACTTATTTTAATCCCTGTTTTAGCCTCAAAACTTCCAGTGACATGAATGAAACTGAGAACCTGTATTGTAGAAATGAACAAGAGCTCTGTGTCTAGAACCAAATAATCTGAGGCCATGGTGTGGCATTAAGAGTCTCAGGCAAACTGTGGCTTACTCTGGTCATCAGTAAAATGTAAATGATCATGTCTATCTCATTTATTTTCAGTGTTTAAGTGTGTGATAACAGTTGCTATTATTCTTCTAAACACTATTACTTGGAATGGTTCTGTGGTCTTTTAAATGCTGAAATATATATGTAAGTATACTTTTGTCTAAGAAAGACACATTACCATTCTTTATACATTTTTAGTGAATCAACTTTGGCACATGGAGTTGACATTTACATTTTTATTATTTTCTTTGTGACTTTGGGCAGATCCTGAGGTTCATAACAGTAAGAAAGACTTAATATGAAATCTACTCAGTGTCCAACACTGAAATGGATTTAAAGACAAAGATGCTAACAGGATGTGACAAGCTATTATAGTTATAAAGCCCTGTTCATGTGCATGATAACCCCCAGGAAGAACAAGTTTTCTTAATGATAAATGGACCAGTGTTTTCCCCAAATAGACCCTAGCCATCCATTCCCAGGCATGCTGGGCATACGCTCCCCAACAGCTGTTTGTTGAGAACACATACCTATGAGTCTTCTCTGGGGTGGGAGCTGCACAGCTGTCTGATCTGCAAATCTGCACAGAATCATGTGTTCCTAAAAGGAGCACGAAAAGAATGTAGGTTTATTCCAATTAGTGCTTCATGTTGTAAAACAAAGACATGATCTCAGTTCTTCTGGAGGTCAGGAGTGCTTAATTTAATAAAAAATACTGTACAAAATTGAACAGCTGAAAAGAGCAATCCTGAGAAACTTATACTCAGCCACTTCTTCCCTTCAGGTTGCCTGTTCTTCAGATGTAGTTCTTAAGAACAGATGCAGAGAAAAACCTCAAGGCCATTTTACCTAGTGGTTCTTATCCTATAACCAGGACAAGACAGTTACATTTTGTAAGTATACTCTGTTAAGTGAATAGATCAATTATCTATCTATCTATCTATCTATCTATCTATCTATCTATCTATCTATCTATCTATCTATCTATCATTTATTTATTCATTCATTCATTCATTTATTTTTCCCAGAGCTGAGGACCGAACCCAGGGCCTTATGCTTGCTAGGCAAGTGCTCTACCACTGAGCTAAATCCCCAACCCCAAGATCAATTTTCTTAATTTTTCTTTCTAAAGGTTATTTGGATCTCTTGCATGGGACTTTAAAAAGATGAGTGACGTGTCTTCTCATACTACCTGAGGAGAAAGCCAGTCATTCTCTGGGACTCCTGGCAGAGTGCTGGCTCCTCCTTGGGGACATCCCTTTCTGCTTTGAGACCATCTATAGAGGAGACCCGAGGGAATGGGAGGGAGATTGGGACTGCTGTATAACAATTTTAGGAGATACTGCATTAATGAAGAAGAGAAGGAAGCCTTGAAGGGACAGAGGCAGTAAACTGGGGAGTCCCCGTTCATCTGCAGGTAGCCGAAGTGACTGGGCAACGACCAAGTTTGTCAGTGCTCCCTCCATCCCAGAGCACTGGAGATCCCGAGTGGGAAAGAGGCCCCAGCTGGAGGTTCAGTGAACAGGGGGACTCAGACTCACCACCTGATTCTTAATACTCGGCACATTAAATGTCAAGGGCCTTTGTATTCAGACAGTCATCCTAGTAGGCTGGCCTCAAACCTGCCACCCTCTTGCCTCGGCCTCCGAGTGGGGAGCCTCTGTTTCCATCAGGTAAGTGAAATGTTTGTGGCTTTTTTTTTTTTATAACAAGGGTATTTTTGTCTCAACCCTTATGTACTAAAACATATTTTAATCATCACTATAAAAGTTAATGGCAAAGGGCAGGAAATTAATAAAGTGGTTTGAATAAATAAATTATATAAAGCCTTCACAAATTGGCTGGTATCAAAAAGGGACAGAAAAATTTAGAATTAGAGGAGCTGAAGAAGCAAGAACACGTATTCCCTTTGTCCCCTGGAGTTTCTAAACAGACCTGCTGTATATAAGTAAAGGGAATGTTGAAGGAATTAGAACTCAGGAGGGGTCCAACGCTCTGTGCCCCTAAGTTTTACCATCCCTTTCCAGAATTGTTTCCGATGTTCTCTTTAGTAAAAGGTTCTGAAAGAGCAAGGCACGTGCGGACATTCTCAGTACCTGCTGGCCAATTTAACTATGGAGAAAACCCACCAAATTCCCAAAATATTTGGACACTAAGAAACGAAGCTCTAGGAAGTGATGGGGTAACATTCTGCCACAGTATCCAAGAAGGGAAGATACCTCTAGGGCATTTACACCCGAAACTTTCTGAGGGCTGGTGGACTAGCAGCTCCTGAGAGTGCTGGAGTAACAGTAGATAGACACTGTGAACTGGGGTATGCCAGGGGCGTCTGCTCTCCGGGGTCAGGGTGACCATTTCTCCTCTTCACAACTGTAAACTCTTTCCCAGCCAGTAGACTAAGGGCGCCCTTCCCCTCAGCAGCCCAGCTTTTCCCCACACACCCTCTCACTTGTGTTTTTCACAGTCAGTTTTTGATGATTCAGGTAGAACCTTCTGAGTGAAAGATGGAGGGTCCTAATGTTAAATCTAGCAGTTCCCCAGGATATGAGCCTTTTAATCTGGCCAGCAAAGGCAGCAGTAGTCTGGTTCTGGATGAGAGCATGACACGAGAACCCACTCCAAGTATATGTGACTGTGTGTGTGGGGAGTGGGAAGGGGAGGGGAGGGCTGTGCATGGGGCAGTGAGGGGGGGCTGTGCATGGGGCAGTG